CCCAAGGCCTCTGGAAGGCTCTCCCGGAGGGCGAACGTGAGGGCGCCATGAACATGAAATCCAACCGTATCGGTCTTCTCCACCTCTGTCGTCCTCCGTGTCTCCGTTATTCTGCTCAGTGGACACTCCAGGGAGTAAACATTCCAAGGCTGCTTGTCACAGGCACCCCCACGGCGGGAGGAACACGTGGCCCCTTCCTCACGCCAGAGGTGACCAGCCACAGAAGCAAGTGAAGCAGGGATTCAGGGGGATTCAGGTGAACACTATGCTGGAAAAAAAAAAAAAAAAGACAAATCCCACAAGCATCCACTAAATATATTTCAAAAACGTACATCTTTATAATTTTATACCCCAAGTATGTTTTCAGGGATTCTTGGCTAAACTTTTACATGTCAAAATATAAATAGTCTGAATTCACTATTTCCTTAATTGCCACTTTTACTATTAAATGCACATAATCTCACAAAACATTGACTTAACATGAATCGGACTGACTACTTTGGTTTAATCCTTCCGACGTGAGTAAGCACTTCCAGACCAGAGCGTCAAGAGTGGAGGGCTGGTCTTCGTGACTTCACGGGTAATACAAGTTTGTGTAAGTAAGTGAAACAAACCCCCAAAACATTTGGCATTAGCCAAAATCTATGCAAAATAAATAAATAAGTAAAACTGAAAGTAACTGCTTTGCACCAACTTCCTTGTTGTTTGTCGTCACGCTCCTTCCAGAATGAGTGGCGGCCTTGTTGGCTTGCAGTGAGGGTGAAGTCCCAGCCCTTCGCAGCTGCACCAGTCAACACAGAAAACACAAGAATTTCTCACAGTTCTAAACTCTTACAACAAAGGCAAAAATCAAACTTCAAACCGGAAAGACATTTTGCCTTACGTGTTATTAATTTTAATAATCAATAATGTTAATTATGTTAAATATGTTAAATGTTTTAATAATGTTAATGTTAATAAATATATGAAATTAGAAACAATTTTTAAGAGGCAATATCGTAGTATGAATAGATTAGTCCGCCAAAGTGCAAAATGTCAATTAGCATTTGCAAAATGTCAGCCTCTCTGGTAACCAAGGAAATGCACATTAGAACAATGAGATAAATTTGTGTTTATTCACCAGAAGAGTATTCTTTTAATGTTGCCAGCTAGAGGAAACAGGGTCAAGGAAACACGTGCAAACGATGCTGGTTTATGCTTCCTGAAGACTGGCTTAGCAATATTTATCAATTGCAATAAAACATTTATATTTTGACCTAATTTCACTTGCAGGCTTTACCCCACATCAATAACTAACATGTAAAAGTACGCCTCGGAAGTCATAGAAACTTGTATTGCTTAAGTTAGGAAAACAATCAGAAAAACTCTGCACCTCCAGTACCAGTAACTGGTTAAGCAGATTGAACTAGTGATTTGGTTACAATGCAGTCATTGAAAATGACATACATATTGAAATGTGATCATGATAAAAGGAATTGAAAAAATACTTCATAAAAAATTGATCTGAAGGAAAACTGTAGGGGCAACGAACTGACATTTGACCATCTCCTTCCGTTCCAAATACACCGGAGGTCATTTAAGAACAGCAAAGCAGACGAGGGCAAGCTGGAGTCCCTGCATGGAAGGTTCAGGAAGAGCGGACTCACGGCGGTGGGCAGGGCTCGGCCCAGGGAGACACGCCCAGGCTCCCCGAGATGGATAAACTCGGCTGGGGACCAGGCCGGACCCGGAGCGCAGGGACCAGCGGTCCCCGTGGGTCCCTGGCAGGAGAGGAGACACACAACACAGGGTGGGCCTGCTGTACGGGCTGCAGGCGGAGGCGGCCGAGTCACTGTCCCTGTCTGGGGACGGCTGTCCCGGGCTCACTGTACAACGCAGGCCCGAATGCCATCCGCGGACCGTTTCTGAACCCGCTCTGGAGGCTGGAAGGAGGCGGTGCGGGGGGCGAGGCTGAGGACATGAAACAAACGTAAGCCGTGACCCCTGCCAACAGGGCACCGACGTAGGCAGTGTCACCAGATGCAGCGGGAGACATCCTCGGCTCCAGGAAGTGAGATGCACAGCACAGAGGACACATGAGGTCAACAAGAGGCGGCGGGGACCCAAGCACCCGAGGCTCGAGGCTCACTGGCCTTCCCGGGGGCACGGCCTGGCGGGGTAGGGTAGGTGGCTTGGTGTCTGTAAGTGTTGGACCCATTTCCACTGATATTCCTTAGTCCGCATCCCTAGTCAATAAGGATTCCAAATTAAAATTTTTAAGTGCTTTGACATTCAAATTTTATTTATTTATTCAGACAGAGCAAGTAGGGGAGGGGCAGAGAGAGAGACAGAGAGAGAGAGAATCCCAAGAAGGCTGCGTAACCTTGAGATCATGACCCGAGCTGAAATCAAGAGTCAGACACTTAACCCACTGAGCCAGCCAGGTGCCCCTAAAAGTTTTTAACTTTAAATTTCTTGTAAAGGGTGAGACTATGTCACCATGTCCTTGCCACTTTGTCACAATAAATAATGCAGGTTTATATGTCACCTTATTTGATATGTGTGTGTCTGTGTCTGTGCTGATTTTCTGACAAAAGTCAATGTCTGGGTACGTGAAGCTCAGGGCCTAGTGAGGGACCATGTGGCCACACCAGCAGAGCCAACCTTCTGAGGGTTCCTGCTTCGTCCACAGAAAAGCCAAAGCAAATGTACAATTTCAGGGGGGAAAAACCATACTATATGTTATTAAATATATAGTCAATCAAGTCAATCATACGATTGGTGTCAACAAAGACACTGAAGGTGTCACAGATTTGGAATACGCAAAATATATTTTTATCATGAATCTCTTTTTCCCCCTCTCCGTCTACAAATATACACGTAAAACGTCTGCTTCACTTAAACAGAGGGGACGATGTCCTCTGGATGGAGCGGGCAGTTTGGCGTGTAGGACCTTCCTTCCCATGACAATGAGAATTAAAACACTTTTTAACAATTGCATTTTAAGGCACAGAATATGAACTTACCAGTTAAAAAAGGTTTGTGTGTGTTTGTGAAAATAAAATATAACCGCCCCCCCCGAAATTACATATGCACACACAAATGTACAAAGACAAGGCCCCGTGTCATGTTTTCACACTGATATACATCATTAAAATCAAATTCAGACCATGTTCACGATACTGCACTATGACATCCAGACGGTCCCACAGCACAGTCCAAATAATTGCAGGGAGTGGAAACGCAGTGCGGCCTCCTTACATCAGTCACGTGAGGCCGGACGTCTGGCTGTGTCCCCTTCCCTCTACGGGCCCGCACAAGCTCAGCCTGCACATCCCTTCTGCCTTGCATGAGCTCACACGGCTACTCCTGGGGACCAGGGCTGGGGCCGGGGCTGTGACGCCTGAGCTGTCCCAGGACCACGACACCACTCAACACCTGATGGGGAGCATCCCACTCACAGGCTGCAAGTGCAATGGACTTGAAATGACGGAACACGGATGCTACTTTGAAACCACTTTTTACGTTCAATACAAAAGAGAACATACCAGGAAGGAACCGGAAAACATGTCATAGTAGAAACTTCACTGGCTCTGTCTAGAAGATCCTATCAACTCCCTTCTAAAACTGTCAGAAATCAGGAAATTGTTTCTCTACCAAGAGTTCACAATTGTCCAGGAAAACGTTCTATATTTCAAGATTTAATTTAAAAATCTATCAAAGTGTGGGGTGCCTGGCTGGCTCAGTCAGTTGAGCATCCGACTTCAGCTCAGGTCATGATCTTACTTAGGTTCATGGGTTCAAGCCCTGCATCCAGCTCTGTGCTGACAGCTCGGAGCCTGGAGCCTGCTTCAGATTCAGTGTCTCTCTCTCTCTCTCTCTCTCTCTCTCTCTGCCCCTCCCCAACTTGTGCTCTGTCTCTCAAAAATAAATAAACGTTAAAAAAATTTTTTAATTAAAATAAAAACTATCAGAGTGTCACCTTTTAAGCTGCTAAATATAAATGTCAGACTTTTTTTTTTTAATTTAAAGAATATGTTTCGTTTAGAGGGAAAAACCTTGTTAAAATTAAGACAACTATTCACAATTTTTTTCATACCCAAATCAAGAGCCAACAGCATTTCCTATACTGGACGCTGCACTTTTAAAAACCTGGATCTCTACTCACCTGTCGCCCTCCAGCTACGGAAGGACCAAGAGGCCTGAGCAACAGTCTGCAAAGGAGATGCTAAGAGGTAATGGTGCACCTGTTCTAACACAAGTGCTAGCACATTCCTGAGCACCCACACTTTTAAAAAGTGAAATTTAGGAAGGACTATAATCTTGTCATCATTGTAAAAACCTATTAGCTGGAACAGCTGAACAGTCACTGAATATTTCTACTTCTAATCCCGCATCCTGAAAACCTTTCCATGGAGCCCTGACTTGAAGGCCTTTGTACCGTTAACTCCTAGAACTCCTGTGAGAACACAAAGCAGCCCCGAACTTCCTCTGCCCCGGGGCCAACTGTGTGCCCTTCACAGAAGCCTCGCCTCCTGGGCCTTGGCTGCCTGCGTTCACAAGCCTGACTCTTTTCAGGACCTTGCTCCCAGGGTCTCACATACAGACTGCTCCAGCCCAGGGCTTCTCAATCCTGGCACTGCTAACGTGCCGGGTCAGATCATCCCTAGCTCGGGACCACCCTGGGCTCCAGCCCTCCAGTGACAACCCAGAATGTCACCAGCTTTGCCACATCCCCTCTGCGGAGAACCAGCTGGGCCGCAGCCCGGGAAGCAGCGCATGCAGGGGGTGATGGTGCCGTTGCACGGACAGCACCGTTTATCATTTGCTTCAAAGTGTGTACGTTGCTTCAATGCTTTACAATGAATACTAATCGTACAGGTGACAACTCGGCGAACTATGCACAGACACTACTGATTTACACACTTTAACAGGAAGACGCCGACATCCTGGGTCGATCCAGGGCTAACCAACACCCAGATGGAACAGGAGACTAGTGTTTATTTTAAAAACCAGTTTTAAAGTGTGTCCTACAACACGGATGTCACGATAAAAGAACCCTCTGCACAAACGTGAGTGGCCGAGTAAGGACGCCTCCGATGCGCACTTTAACCCCTGACACAACAACAGAGGAAAACAACGTCCATAAGAAAACCAACACAACTGTTCCAGTGTTATTCTTCTTTTCTCTTCCTTCCTCTTCTCTTCTCCTGTAACATTTTCAGGTCAGTCATTACATTCAAAGTCTTTCGGACCCACATAATCTAAAAACAATGATTTTGAGACACGTTTAGAATTGGAAAACACACATCCGTCAACAACACTAGAACTCAGAAAGCTGTAACACACATACCACAATGATCATGGCATTGAGCAGCAGCGGTGCTGAAAACACTAGAGAAATGAACATCCCCCGTGAATCGAAATACTGGTATTTTGAAAATGACCTGTTTCAGGAAGAAATTAAAAGTTACTTGGTATAACGGAAAAACGTCCTTAGCGATATTCCCTAACGTAAAGCTCCTGGAGAGCCTCTTACGTCGACTAAGGCTCCACCGCCTGCCCCACAACCGAACCCACCCTCAGCCCTTCCCAGCTCACTCCTACTGGGCCCCATCAGGGAACGTGCAGCGGGCCTGCGGCGAAGAAGGCAGGAGCCCCGGGGCCTGGGGAAGAGGGCAGTGGGGGCAACAGCAATCAACCCTCGGATTTGCCGGGCAAAGTAAACGCTTGTGCGCTCTGGTTAACGGCGAGTTTGACGTCACCTGGGACGTGCTGTGCCTTCCGTGGGCCAGAAGGCGTCACGGGCTGCACACGCTCCAGAGCTACTCTGAGACGGTGCCAGCCGGCTCTCTGCTCGAACTCTCACCAGCAGGCTGAGTCCCTCAAGCTGCCCCTAGGCAGAGGCTGGTTGTATCCTGGGGCTCGTCTGCGGCCACCAGTGACATGCAGGACGACCGTTTATAAAGCACCTAACAACCCGTTAGCTCAGTGAGTCACGGAGGAGCCGGCCAGCAGCCCTGGCGTCACAGCTGAGAACAGGGGAGGCAGAGCTTAGAGCTTACACTATAGGGGAGACGGTTCAGATAAGATGACACTCAAAACGCACTCGTGTGACTGATGTTCCGGAGAAAAATGAAGCCAAGGAGCATGGAGTTGCACGTGGGCTGCAGGAAGGCTCCCAACACTCCAGCAGGGACCCGGGGGAGCCACCAGGGCCCAGCCGTGGCCAGCCCGTGGCCGTGGCTGCCGTGGCTGTGCCGAGGCCTAGGTCGAGGAGGGGCTGGTGCCTGGGGAAGCAGGCCACCGCTCGGGAGGCATGGGGGCGGGCACCGAAGGGGAGGGACAGAGCCGCGCTCGTGCTTTGTTTCCAAGGTCAAGGACCTCGGAAGGAATCTGCGTGGCGAGTGAGGTCTCTGGCCAAAGTCACCGGGAGGAGAAGCGCCAGTACAGAGTGGAGCACCGTGCCTGGGGTCAGCTCTGGATGGGGGCCGAGTGTGAAGCGCTGCTCTCCTGATGGTCATCAGACCTCCGGCGGCTGGGGCGGCTGCCCTCGCACAGGAGGAAGGCAGAGAGCGGAAGGAGGGACGTCCTGAGAGAGGAGACTGGCAGCCTGGTGTCCTGGAAACCCGCCAGCAGGTGGTTCAGGGGGAGGGAGGCTGAGGTCAAGTAACCCGCGGACTGGCGGTGGGCCAGGCCCCACGCGCCCCACCCTGTCATGAACAACAGCGTTTCCGCTACAAGGTGGGGAGCGGGCCCAAGGGGACAGTGACCACCTTCCAAGTCTCATCGTGAAGGGTCCAGACGGGGGAGGCCCAAGGGGCCGTTTTACATTGAAAAGTGGGGATTTTCTCAGTACGTCTGGCTGAGGAGATGGGTTCAGAGGGCAGCCAGGAGCAGGTGCTGGGGCCACAGCCATTCCCTGAAGGCACAGGCTTCTTCGAGGTCCTCAGGACCCGACGAGCAAGGACGTGTGGGGGCTGGAGAGACAGCAGGTGTAACGCAGGTGGGATGGAACGTGCATGGTCACCTAGGGTGGCTTTCCACAACCTCCTGGAGAGCGCCAAATGGCACACATTCATGCTTCCCGGGCCAAGAGGCAAGGTCTTCAACCCCTTTTTGCTGAGAGTCTAGTAGTTTTTCTTTTTTTTCTTTCACATTGAAGAAATGTAAATGTTTTAGCACTTAGAAATATCAAGACCATTTTTAGCTCACAGGCCACGTAAAACCAGTGGGCCAGATAGGGCCTGTGGACCGTTGTTTGAAAGCCACATCTAGACACACGTGTGAGGGTCCCAGATGAAGCCCCTCGGTTTGCACAGCTGTGTCTCGCTCACACGTGTGGGTGCCGGTGCTGAGCTGCACCCAGACACAGGGCCTGACACTCAGGCAGGATGTGAGAGCTGGAAACGGGGGCAGAGGACAAGCAGAGGGCAGTGACGGCTGGTGATGCCCCACGGGTCTCCACACCCCGGGGAACAGAGGCTGGCAGGAGCCATGGTGGAGAGGGAGGAGGTGGGGCTCCAGGGAGGCCACAGGCAAGAGGCTGGAGCTGCGATCACTGGAGGGCGGCCGGGGGTTTATGCCAGGAGGACATCCAAGGCCTCGAGAGGACACGGCAGGTCCAGGGAGGGCAGAGAGGTCTCAGAGCACATCACCCACCGCCCTGACCAGGCATGGACCAAATTCTCTCTAAAATGCCACTTTCTCTACTCTGCAAACAGAGCTACCTCAAACAGCCCCTTGAACTGTCGCCCGCTGTCATGAACCGTATCAACCAATCTTCAAATCCTAAACTGTCTGATAAGCCGTTCCTCTGACCTAAACCTGTCGGAGCAGAAGCACTTGGGCCCCCGGGGCCTTCAGCGACTTGTTTTCTCTTGCGGCTCCCGGAGTCTTGTGGTCGGCGTGCAATGCTCCCACTGCACAGACCACTCTAGAGTGCCACTCCCCAGTACGGTCAACATGCACAGGGCGTCGGCCTACCTCCAGTTCATTGCCGCTACTTCGTTGATGTACTCGGCACAATAAACTAGAATCACTGGAAGAGAGAGAAACCACGTGTCAGGATCCGGATGGCGATTGATCACCAATCTTTACAGAATTAAACATGCTGTTTACGATGGTATATTTAACATAAATGTAAGAGAATAGCAAGAATTTGATGAGAAGTGGACTTCCTATTTTAGAGACAGTGTGAGGTAAGACCGCAACACTTGCACACTACAGGCAGGACACCTTCCCTTGACGGAAACACGGGAAGGTCTCAGTGCAGAGACCGGAAGCAGGTCTGCCCCTGCAAACCACAGGCGCACACGTGTGCCTGCGCCCGCGCTCCGACATGACCCGGTCACAGTGACCCAGTCACAGAACGCCCAGAGCTGCGAGACCAGGTGCCTTCCACCGTCACACTGCCATCCCGCGGGGACACACGGGACAGCCGGCTAGAGACAGACCCAGAGGTTCTGGCGGCCGCAGCAGGAATCCCGATGCCCCCCCCACCGCGAGCCTACCTGAGTAGAGACGGCGACCCTCCCGGAGCCCGGGACGCAGAAGCACGCGGCTATTCAACCCCGGACCCGGAGCTCGCTCAGCACCGCGTGCTGCCACCGTTCCTGCGTGAAAACTACACGGCGGGACGCGGCAAACCGCAAAGTCTGATGCTTTCAGTTCTCAGGTAAATTAAAACGGGAAAAACCTTCCCGTCCTTGACCCAAGTCACAAAACGGAAGACACCACGGCTTTAGAACCTCTGGACTCCTCCCTCCGGATTGGACCCAACGAGGCACATCAAGAAAGCCAAGGGAAAAGGAGAAAAGGGGGGGAAAGGCTGAGACACGGAAGGCGGCGGAATGACGCCATCTCTGCCAGCTGACCAGGTAATGAATCTCGGCGGTGCCACCCAGGGGCTGAGTGACCTGGGGGGGCAGGGAGCCCCTCCGCGTCTCACTTGTAAAAATGCGGCAAATAACACCGCCCTGAATAAAATCAATCTGTGCGGGTCTGAGAGTCCAAGGAATCACAGAAGATGTACACACACGTAGAACACTGTCTGTCTGTTGCCCCCACGTGTGCAAAGTCCTCCCCTCTTCACCCTCAAACATAAGAAACCCAACACGGTTCTTGAGTTGCCAAGTTTTCCTCACACGTCCGCTCCCGTGATCAGGCCGGCGTCTTTCTCCGAGGGACCTGCCCCGGGGCCCGTGCACAAGCTGTCCTCGCGGCAGGGAGTTCACTGGGGCCCTCACGCCGCACCCCTGCTGCGTCGCTCCCTCCTGCAGGCCCTGCACACCCCGGTCTACGCGCTGCCCCCGCACCTCGCACGAGGCCCCGTCCCGGAGCTCCGCTGGTTTGCTGCCTCGTCCGGATCACGGGCGGTAGCAACGCACCTCCGCCCGAAACTGCGTCGCGGGGCCGGTGCTGCCCACCACCTCGTGCGGGCCCAGAGGCGCACGCGCCCGTGACAGCACGTGGCGGCAGGAAGCAGGGCCTCCGCTCATCCCTTGCGCTGCAGGACGACTTCTGCGACGCCAACGCACCGCTTCCCTCTCTCCCGAGGACGCTCTCTTACGGACACGTCCCACCCTGCACCTGGTCACGTCACACGGCAATCTGGGTCACAGAATTCGTGCATTCTACTCACCTAAGCACAGGAAATGCCCGACCTGTAGTTTATACCTCTGGGCTGAGAGACACGTGAGCAGCAGACACAGCACGTGGAAGACGGCCAGCCCCAGGAGCCACGGCTCCGCCCAGTCCGTCTGCTGCAAGACACATCGCTAGAAACTCATCACCGACAACTCACGTGGGGGCCAGGCGTCGCGTCTCCTGCGTCAGGGAGGCCAGCGGTCCCTCACTGCCAGCACCCCTGGGCCCCCACTGCCGTCCCTCACTCCCAGCGCTCCTGGGGCTGCGGGGCGGGGCGTCCAGGGCCCTTGCCCCACAGGCCTCCCAGAAGCAGGTGTTGGGGAAGGAAGAGGAGGAGGAAGACGGGAACCGACTGCACCGCAGCCACCCGCAGACATTAAAGAGAAATGTCACTGCTTTAATGTCTGAGCACGCAGAACTGGGGCACCACGGATTTCCCCTTCTGTGGCCTGAATAAAATCATGTTTTAAGGCTTCTAAGGATCATCGTCCCAGGACAAGCAGGAACAGAGTTCCTGAGACTAGCACTCAAGGCCTTGGGAAATCTGAGCCATCCCAATTTGCTAGATTTCCTCCGACCTTTCTGTCAGGCCGCCAAATAGCACTGACATGTCGGGTCTCCTCAACCGGAGGGTGGGCATGTCCGCACCCCCAGATGCTCGTATCCCCCCCCCCAACCATGCTCGGATTTACCCTTCGTCTAGATCTCCCCTGCAAGCTCACCCCCAAGCCCTGCCCTTAGCCCCGCCCCCAGCAAACCAGGCCGGGAACTGCATCAGGACACTGCAGAGCCCTCAGGACTAAGTGTCCCCTGCCGCTTCTGCACGCCCCGGAGGGTAAACTGCCCACAAGCTACCCGTCCCCATCAATGTGCGGAGGGGGCAAAGGGAAGGGAGCGAGGGGGGGGGGCGTCCAGAACAGCGCAAGAGCAGCACCTGGAGCTCCCACTGCGCTGGGGGTGCGGTCCCCCCACCACCTCTACCCGCGGTGCGTCCACACCTAGAGCCCAGGGCCGCCCAAGAGTCTCCGCCAGGCCCCGCCCCGAAACGTCCCGCCCACCACCAGGCCCCGCCCAGGATCGGTCCTCCCACCACCAGGCCCCGCCCCCACCCCATCCGGTGTCGTCGGCGTCCGTGGCGGATGCGAACTAACCCGGACTACCCCACCCCCCACCCACCAACCATCACCCAAGCTGGCGACCAAAAAGGCAGCGAGTTACCGTGATCACGGCGGGAATGCTGACGGGGAAAGAGCTGACCGAGAAAGCGGACGGCATCGTCCCCGGAAAGGCCCACCCTCGCCACCACCGTCTCCTGTCCCGACCCCAGTCGGTTACCACAGGGAACGCCTCCGGCGTCCCCTCTCGCGGGATTTCTACTTGTCGCGAAATCTGCTCGGACCCAGCTATCTCGCGATATCTCCCGTGCCCGGTGCCAGGTCCACATCTCGCGGTTTTCTATGGCTTTAAATCTAATGTTGAAATTGTAACTACGCTCCCAGAGTGTTTTCCCAAGCGGGCCGAGAGGCGAGAGGGGACGAGAGCGTCTTTAGTTCTCAGACCTTCAACCCAGTGGCGCTCTCGAGAACCCGGGGGCGAGTGGGCGTCTCTGCCTGCTTCCGACGCCGGCCCCGAGGGACCGAGAGGGGACGGTGTCCGCGCTCCCGGGGGACCGAGGGGGACAGTGTCCGGGGGACCGAGGGGAAGGGGGCAGTGCCCGCGCTCCCGGGGGACCATGGGGACGGTGTCCGCGCTCCCGGGGAACCGAGGGGAGAGTATTCGCGCTTCCGGGGAACCGAGGGGGACAGGGTCTGGGAGGGACCCACTTTTTCTGGCAGATAACGTTGTGCGTGCGCACACATCACCTGGGCCCATATGTACGTGGGGTCTGAGTACACCTGGGGGTGCCGAACGTTCCACCTTTCTAACAAGCCGGGTGAGGGGGATGCTGCCTGTGGGCGACCGCAGTTGAGAAGGCCCTGGGGACGCCCTGCCTACCCTCCGCTTACAGGTGCATTCGGGTCGCTGTTCGTTAACCGGGGTGTCCAGAGCCCTGCGCCTCAGGGACGGACTCGGGACCCGCGGTTAATAGGTGAGCGCGGGCACGCGGTAGCAGGAGCGGGTGAGACAGGGTGTGTGTGCGGCCGCCCGCGGACCTACCCGGAAGGCGACCGTGTGCCCGCAGGGCCGGGACTGCCACGTGCGGAGACAGCGCCCGCCGTCTGGGTGGAGTGGAGCGAGGACGCGCAGTGCGCAGGGGCCCCGCCTCTGGGGCTCGTGCGGGAGCCAGGCGGCGCCAAAGGACGCGAGGAGATGGCTTCCCGGCAGGTGCGTTCCTGAGCGGCGGAATCAAACCGACACTGAACCCAGAGGGCCGCGCTCCGGTTTAAGCCGGGCTGCCACAGCGTCCGAAACGGCGTCCGGTGACCCCGCAGGTCCCGCGGGTCCCGGCCGCAAGGGTCGTGGGGTCTGCACGCTCCCGCGCCCTCCTCCCCACGCTTTCCACTCCGCCCAGAGACCTCGAAGAACACCTGCTAGGCCAAGTCCCGCCTGCTTTGAACGCTCTGTGCTCCTGCTTCTTAGGTGTTCTCCCTGCTCCCCGCTCCGCTGCCGCTGCGCTCCCTTTTCAGACACTTTCTAACCTTTGCCCGGAATCGTCAAGGGGCACTCAGCTTTCCCTGCGCCGAGTCAAAATCCCACTCGCATCGTGATCCTGGAGGTGGGATCCCTAGCAGTGTGCTCAACACAGAGCTGCCGTTCCGGTTCTGGGACTACATCTCCCCGGGAGGTGACCCTGTGTGCCCTCCGCCCCGCCCCTCCTTCCCCGGAGTTACCGCGGGCCGGGCTGGAACAGACCCCTGCGGGGACCCGGTCGAATCGCATTTTAATCAGGCGCCAGCAGGTGGCAGCACGCCGCCTTGCCTCGGTCCTGCTGGCGGAGCCTGAACACCTTTTCCATGTTTTCAACAAAATCAATTTTCGAGTGTTCACACTTGTTGAACTGAGAGGCTTTACTCTACACCATTTAATTTTAGACGGAGAAATAGTTTGGTTTTTTTTCCCTAGCATTATGGGGTAGCCGAATCTGTTCTTATCGATTCTTCTCTCATAGAATGCAGGTGTAAACTTGCAGTCATTTAACGACAGGCTTCCGAGAACTCCGTAATTATGGACAACGAAAGCCTTATGGATTAAATCCAGCAAATTTTATATCTCACCTTCACTTGATATTTTCAGTATTCCACTGATGCGTCCCTACCTCAGTGCTCGGGAAGTGGTGACCACATGGGTCACAACCACACCAAACTGTGCTACTTGGTTTGACGCGTTTCTGTCCTCACTGACTGAGCCGCTCCAGGGCCGGTCCTGTCTTATCGGTCTGATTGTTTGACACCCTCAGCACATCTGATACCTAGTAGGTTGTCCGTGAGAATGTCTGTGACCAGAGCGCCAAACACATCTGTAGCGACAGCTCATTCAGTCGTTGGAGATGAAGATCTTCTGGAATCTGTGTTTGTGTGCAGACCCTCAGGACTACGCATGCAAGCGCACTCCCGGGAGGGCTTCTTGTGTCCACAGACAAGGAGGGAAGAGCTGAGGAAACAAATTAAGGCACTGTCTTCTCTTGGGAAAATTGAATCCATAATGACACATTATTAGTTGAAGTCATCCCCTCCCACCCCCACCTTATTCCTGAGCCAGCAGGCACTAAAGCAGCAGTTTTCCAGAACATGTTTGGGAAGCCTCATTGTACAGCATATGGAAGGGACTGTGTTCCTCGAGGCCCATGAGGTTTCTATAGAATTTCTTAAAATTTTATCGTGGCTAGTAGTAAACACACAAGTGCAATGTTATGTTTGGGGATTTTCCCTCTGTATTTTTGATTGTATATTGTCGACCCAAAACAGATAAGATCACTAAAGAGTGGTTAAAAATTAGGCCACACTAACATGGTATTTGGGTATTTGATGTGCTCTCTAACAGGTCGTCTGTAAGAAGCCAGAGCCAGATGACCAGGCTCTGCTGATGTCCTGGGATGAGGCCCATGGTGACACAGACATTAGTCTAAACCTCCCTCTTGGCTTTTCTGATGTGTGTGCCTGATGCCTCTCGATGGCAAATCTGTCACGTGCCATCAGTGGCTGGCTCTGGGTTTATGGAAAGTGTGGAAGCATTTCCCACAATGGTTTCTGGCACATAGTGGACACTCAGGGGACGTTTGTCTAGTCATTCATAGCCTGGCCATTGGCTAATGGGACAGGCCCTGGGCCAGATGGTGGACCACCACCAGGCCAAAAGGCGGTCCACGCCATGGGAGACACGTGCTGTGATGGTGCCAAAGGAAACTGCCTGCAGGAAGCGTCACCAGGCGGGGGCACGTGCAGGGCTGACCTCTGAAGATTGAGTAGAGACTCCTCTGGTAAGCTGGGTAGAAGGAAAAGAACATTGCTGGCAGAGGAAACCATGTGTTCAGACACAGGTAAGGATGAAATTTGTTAACGAATATAAAGAACTGTAAGTTCTTGCTCTGGGTTGAAGTGAAAGGCGTCTCGTGGAGAATATTAGGGAATTTGAACATTAACCAGGTAATGTAAGTGTGTGTCCTCTGTGGAGACTGGCCTGACTCTTACAGGCCAGTATTTCTCATTCAAGGCCCACTGTTCTCCATGTTCAGGGACATATTCTCAAACTATTTCTCAGTAAGGCTATAAATGCCACATCTGTATTTAGATGGCAGTGTTTAAAATCACTGTGTCCATTTACACGTCTGTGTCTCCTCTGTCTATGCATCCACTCTGCATTTCCTGAACGTCCACTTTATACCACAATTTACTTCTAGAACCCCAAAGACGCCCCCACCCTCGTTTCTGGAAATGATGAGCGTGTTCCCTCACACAGAGGAGGGGAGTGTAGGTGGCACATGGGATTACAGTCACTGCACAGCTGCCTTCATGTAGGGAGCGAGGCAACCGGCCATGGCTAGTGTGCGGGGGGAGAAGAGCCCGGTACGCAGGTGCCTCCGGAGGCTGGAAGGCAGCAGAATCATCTCCCCAGGAGACTCAGAGAGGAACCAGCCCTGCCAACACTTTGATTTCAACCCAGTGAGACCCGTTTCAGAGTTTTGACTCCCAAAAATGTAAGATGCATTTGTTAAGCCGCTAAGTTTGGGGCAGTTTGTTAGAGCAGCAACAGAAAATACGTAAGGCAGGGGGTGCAATGGGCGGCGGCCGGTAACCACTCATGTTTTTCAGAAACCTCAGTTACGCGTGTGGTCTCCCCCAGGCGAATGTCCTCCGCGGTCGATGCACGACGTCCCCACCCTCCAGCTGTCACTCCATGAGTTCCTGGGCACAGTACGCACACCTTCCTGTGCTTCTTACATCCTTTCCACCCTTAAAAAAAATTTTCTTAACGTTTATTTATTTTTGAGACAGAGCATGAACAGGGGAGGGCAGAGAGAGAGGGAGACACAGAATCCGAACAGGCTCCAGGCTCCGAGCTGTCATCACAGAGCCCGACGCGGGGCTCGAACTCACGGACCGTGAGATCATGACCTGAGCCGAAGTCGGACACTTAACCGACCGAGCCACCCAGGCGCCCCCTTTCCACCCTTTAAATGCAACCTCTGGGATCCTATTAGCTGGGACTTTCTTGATTGTAGGTTGTGGAAATCTCCTCTCCCTCTGGCAGAGCAACATTCTCTGGACCTAGAGCAGGAAGCATGGCCCTGAGCCTCAGCCGCAGACCCTCCTGTCTACATTCATGTTCCCCGTTGCTTGACATCGTTATGAAAGCAGTGGCCAAATCATAGAATGACTTTTTAAATTAGGAGGGGCAAAAGCATCTTTTGATTTTTACTTCTGTCAACTAGCTGTTTCTCCAGCTTTTAAGATGATAAACTAGGGGCACCCGGGGGCTCAGTCGGTTAGGCATCTGACACCTGATTTCGGCTCAGGTCATGATCTCGGGGTTCATGAGACCGAGCCCTGTGTCGGGCTCTGCACTGACATCTGGGAGCCTGCTTGGGATTCTCTCCCTCCCTCTCTCTGCCCCTTCCCCACTCACGCTCTCACTCTAAAACACAAAACAAAACTGGGGACACGTCGAAGACTCAGTGAGAAGAGAGATCAGCTGGGACAGCAAGTGGGAGAGTTGATGGCTCGCAGGCTGGTTGCGGGGGGCGGGGAGGCCTGAGGACAGAGGGTGCTCTTTGCAGGGTCAAGGTGGGAGTGACCCAGCCCAGTGTTCACAGGTTCACACCAGTGCCTGATTCTTTA